ATTTCTGGGTTGCTGGCTTTTTCAGCAACAAGTCTGGGACAGACGCGGCAGAAACAAAGCCCAGGGACTCACCACCATGTCATTCCTTGGGTCCTGAGATCCCTGATTAGTACGCCTTCTTCTATTTTTTTTTTTTGGGGGGGGGACTCTTATGTTTCTTTTATAGCTGATGGCCAGGGTTCTGGGTTGTACTTAGCATGAAGAATGGGAAAACATACCTGACTCCATCTTTCCAGAAGCAGAAGCCAAAATCTTGACAAAATTTTTGAGTTTTCAATCCCAGTTAGTTAACAAACAGTGTAATATTGGTTTCAGGGGTGGAAGTGAGTGATTCATCACTTACATACCACAGCCAGCGCTCTCCACAAGTGCTCTCCTTCATCCCTATCACCCATTTCACTCACCCGTCCGCCTACCTCCCTCAGCCACCCTCAGCATGTTCTCTAGAGCGAAGAGTCTGTTTCACGTTTGCCTCTCTCTTTTTCCCCCCATGTTCATCTGTTTTGTTTCTTAAACTCAGCATATGAGTGAAATCATATGGTATTTTTCATTGACTTACGAAATCTTGATATTTTTAAGAAATAATTTTTCCCCACAAGTAACCTTGGGAGATAGGACAGCACTTTTCTACTGCAGTGGTTACAAACTGATGGCCTATTGCTCAAACAGGCAGTAGGAGGGTGTTTTTTAAATTGTTTTTAAGGGGACATGCTGTTCTCTATTGCCCCCTCCCATGTGTGCCTAGCTTGCAGTCACTTGCATTTGCAAACTCTGATTTAATAAATAGATCATGAGGCCAAGCTATAAACAATGGATTACGGCCATGGATTGAAAAATCATGTTTGAGCTTCCTTTTTCATAGACTAGCACTCGATTTAAGAAATACTAACTAAAACCTAGCTCAAGCATGATGAAGCCTTTCCTATACCCTGCATCTTACTTCCCACCAAAGCCCTTCTGTAAATTTTTGCTTAGGATCCAGAATTTACTCACCATACTAACTTGCTAATTGATTACACTTAGTACAGGACCATTTTCTCTTTTTTCTTTCGAATGTTTGTTCATGGACAAGGGGAAGAGAAACAAGAGGAGACAAACAGAGGTGGTGATAGTGATGATGAGGTCACTTTTACTAACAGCTCCTAAGAAGTTTTGTTACAATTTGTAACGGTATTATTTCATGTAATCTATGGAACATTACATTCCGATCCTGTTCTTAAAATCTTTGACAAATTCAAGAGAGAGGCTTTTACTCTGTTAGCCCAGTAAAAATGAAAAGCAATTGAGCTGAGTTGCTACCAGGGACACAGGGAGGGGGTCAAACAAAATGAAGTATTTTATCACATTTCTAATAGTCCTAATGATCCAGGCAAATCTTCAGGATGACTTGGTAATAAAGGATACACTTACCAATTTAGTCGACCATTCAACTAAAATTCAACACAGTAGCTACTTACTCTTTCAGCAGGGACAGGTCCCCAAACCTCTGTCATTTCATACGCCACCTCCACAAGTTCGGCTCTGGCTCTACCCTGCCCATATCAGTATTTATATTACTTTAAGTCAACTCCTTTTTCGTACTTTGCCCAGCTCTACACAACAGCATCCATTAAAACACAAGTTCAATGTGCTACTTTTTCTAACACATATTTAAAATTATATAACTGTGAACACATGTCCACAGACATACCATCTAAATTTATCTCATGTGATAAAAGTGATATTCTTACCATAGTCTGGGTGATCTGACCCTGAGCCTATTGTCAATTTATGACATGAATAAATTTAAAAAAAACTGTTCTCAAAAACCTAACACGAGTTGCTAATTATTCAGATTTGCAGGACTGCATCAGAAACATATGGTCTCATCACCAGTTTCAAGAGCTCTAAACCTAGGAGGCCTAGCGTTTCAGATTTTATCGTACATAAGAAATCTATGAGGCCTTTGGTTCCACACCTACAGAGATTCTAACTCGCTGTCGGGAGAGATGGGGACCACTGAAGCTGATTTTTGCTGACACCCTGGGGAGCGCTGATGTGGGGAAACCCAAGGGCCACATTTTGAAAAACAGTGGACAGGGCAGGGGGACAAAATTTTAAATGCACTCTAGCTTTTCAGTGGGATAGCTGTCCTGCTGAAAAATTCCAAGTCTCAACTATGTGATAGTAAGCAAGTCATCGGACATCTCTGAGCCTTGGTTTCCTCATCTGTTAAATGATGATTATAATAAAAGCTACCTCATTTTGCTGTTTTAAGGCTGAATGGATTGTATGTCACAAAGTATTACAAAGCCAACAAAAAAAGCATTAAAAAACCACAGAGCCCTATATGAGCTTGAGGGTTGATGAGGAAGCTGTAAGCACCACCCTCGGAAGCCTAGGATGAAAAAGCCAATCAGCATTTCCGATCCAGATGCCAGTGCTCAGCCCCATAAGCATCAGCTCGCTTTAATTGCTGACGTCGCGCTTAACCTATAACAAATTAACCCCCATACTGTGTGTGGGTTTCAAATAAGATATTTGCACAGTGGATAATTTGAAATATTATTGATTGATGCCTGCAAATTAGATCCTCAAGGAACTGTGGCTGGACCCTCAGGAAAAACCACATGCAATGGCTCCCTTGCTGGAGGTACTCCAGAGTCCTGTCTTGGGGACTCAGATTTTAAGAACTACTTTATACGTAGCATATAAAATTATCCTTGTAGTTTAGAAACATTTTACACTTTTATTATTTAAAGAACTCTCTTCTTACAGAAAAAAAAAAAACTCCTGAATTATAAATTTAACTCTGACTTTGCACACTTGGCTACAGGGAAAACATAACAAAGACAATTAGAAAATGTGTTCTCTTACAATCATTCATCAAAAGCTTTAGCTATGATCTGATGTAGGTACCTAAAATTCAATTTACAAAATATAGAAAAGCCTTATTTTTTTTCGGAATACCATCTGCTAAACCATTCCAATATGAGCTAATTTCGCTACACAAAATTTATAAATAGACTAAAATAAAAAAAAAAACAGTTGCTTCGCATTAAAGTTCAGATTCTGTCTGATCTATTAATGTAGAGGTTAGAAAGCTACGCACACAGTCAACATTCAGTCTTTTATAGAACTCACACAACACTAACAAATACGCAAGCATAATGAAAACATTACTGTTAACTCCTGATTGTCTGGAAAGAAAATCATTCCAAGGCCTGAGAGCTATTCTCTGCTAGTATGGGTTCTTGAGCCTCTCCACTCAGTGGGGCAGTTTCTCAGCTAAAACGAGGCAACAGGGAAACTGGGACCGGCGGGGTAGGCAGCTGCTCAGCGGCCAGCCACTCAGGCACCAGTGAGGCAGCAACTGCTCCCCTCAGCTGCGGCTGGCATGTCTGCGCAGCTGGATTTGGAACACCGGGTACCCCAGCTGCTCCTACATGGACAAACATGAAAACCAGAAAGCAGGGAAACCTACTGAGAATGACATACTGTCACTTTTCTGACTGAGCAGGTTATCCAATTTCTACTAATCCAAAGGCCTACTTTCCTCTGGTAGGCCTAATCAACAGCATCGGATGGCTTGGAGGAAGTACAGACTGAGAGCCAAATTTCAATTACATGGCCTCTTGAGTCAGTCTCTGTGCTTGGCACATTACGAGATAGAGAAGAGAGGAACAGAGGCCATTAGGTCCCTTAAGCAAGGAGCATGTATTAAGAATTAATTAAGGAGGGCACGTATTGCATGGAGCACTGGGTGTGATGCATAAACAATGAATCTTGGAACACCGGAAAAATAAAATAAAGTTTAAATTAAAAAAAAGAATTAATTAGGATCTTTACTGTAGTGCTTGAACTGTTTGTAATTCTATACGGTTACCTTTATATTTACCTTTACCTTTACATTTACTGTAAGAACTTGGTGCTTGGCAAGGACCATGATTTTGAGAGACTATTGACCGAGGGTGGTCTGGGATACTAAATGTAGTTCGTCCACACTTGTGAAAACCAATCATCTTTCACAAGCAGGCACACATAATTATAATGGACTGAAACCTCCATTCAAGCAATGTAAGCATGGTTTAACAGTTCACTGACATTTAAACAGGGTTAGTCTTAGCCTTAACAAAGATGGAGTGTGTAAGTTTTTAATTTGTTAACCGATTCAACAAGTATTTACTGAGCACCTGTTATATTCCAGGACTGTGCTGGGGAAGCAGTGGTGAGTAAAAGAGCCCCCGTCTCTGCTGACAAGGAGCTTATCACTCTCAACTTTAGAATAAACAGAGAATACAAATTAAAGACCGAAAAATGAGGCTGCCCAACAATATTCTGGAGTTCTGCAACTTTTTGCATCGTAGTATCGCCTGTTAATGCCGAACACCCACAGGTAGTACCTAAACACAGACACAAATGGTGAAGCTGGGAAATACTATCAGATATTTTCTGAAGTTCAGAATATGATCAAAGAAAATATAGGCATTTATTATAATAAGATGTAAAATATAATATGTAATATAATTAATAAAAATGGAAATGGATTTTTAAAAAAAGGATCAAAAGCTAAAGACAGTTTTTCCTCTCAATTACAAAACCATGAGTACATATACTAGATTCTGGTAAAAATTCTCCTTTGAAGTTCAGATCTAACAGAAAATCTTTCATCCTTGTTCCCAAGCAAATGTTTGTTGAGCATCAAGGGGCCACAGTCTCACTCAAACTGAAAATGCAAAGCTTCTTGGGGTGCCTGGGTGCCTCAGCTGATTAAGCAGCTGACTCTTGGTTTTGGCTCAGGTCGTGACCTCGGGGTCGTGGGAGTGAGCCCCACATTGGGCTCTGCACTCAGCACAGAGTCTGCTTCACATTCTTTCCCCCTCCCTCTCCCTCTGCATTTCCCTTCCCCCTACTCTTCCCCCACCCCACCCCATGCGTGCACTGCACTCTCTCTAAAATAACTAATAATCTTTAAAGAAATGCAAAGCTTCTTGGTACATTGAAGACTCAATGTTGCTTACCTTGTAGTCTCTGGATACATTTTCTGACGTCACTGAACCTGAAATCTGACTAGAAATTGTAGCAGCTATAAGCTGTTTACACCATTCAACATGTGATCCTGTAGGACTAAAAGAAATAGTGTGATTAAAATATTTTAAGACATGAGCTCTCGGTGAAAAAAATGAGCACTAAGGATATATGTACATTCCTTTTTTTTTAAAGAAAATTTTATGAGACTATACAGTTAATACATTTACTATAAGAACTAAAATACTAACTGATAACCAGGAAGTAAGATTAGGTTCCAGGCTGATTTTAAATGAATTAGCCAATTTTTTTTTATGTTTAAGAGTCTAGGCCTTACACAGTTAAACATTAGGGAATTTTATTATATTACAACTATATGCAGTGAATATGCTTAATGTAATATATATGGAATATTAATTCTAAGTGAAATATTTATCTTACAGCATATGTTTTTTTCAAATAGACTTTTAATCAAACAGTTGATTATATGAGTTTAAAAAGACCAGACTAGGCAAATGACATCCTGCACGTAGTAATAATGCTACCTTACACTTCCGTAAGAGCACTGACAATTTAAAAAGGCTCTTCCGGTCTGTTATGATATCAGAGTCTCCCAACCACAGTATGATAAGAAGACACATCAGGGACTAGCCAACATGTTTCTGAGATGAGAAAACTGAGGCACCAGAGGTGACACGCCCAATCAGAATGTGGCAGGGCTGCCTCCAGCTCCACTGGGGCTGTCCTTCCAGAACATGACACAACCAATCGTGACCGACCTGCTGGACTGGAAGGTGAAACAGAGGCCAGCCCCACAGAGGCCAGCCACACTGCCTTACACAAGAACACAGTCCTGCAAGGGAAATGGCATCTTCTACTTGCATGGTGCTCTTAAGCGTCACCACATTTCCACACACAGCCTCGCCTAAGCCTCACAGTGACCCACCTCAAGGATGAGAAAAGTGAGGCTCCAGCAGTTGACCAAGGTCACATGACCGGTCAGTGGGCAGGCTGTGCCCACCAGACCTAAAGGAACACAGGAGCAGACTAGGCAGTGAGAGAATCAAAAATTGCCTCCAAGGGGCCAGGCTCCTCATCAAAGTACTGAAGGAATCAAGCAAAGGGCAAAAGATGCTCATTAAAGTTTACCCTGTAGGTAGTTTTCGCTGTAAAGAATGTTCCAGACCTATAAAAATCTCATCACTAATTAAATCCACACTCATACATTGGGAAGACTGAAAAAAGTGGAATCCCTAGGCAGTACATAAAACAACCTAAAGTAAAATGAAGATATTTGATGTTCTCTACTAGCGCTCTAAATTTCTGCCTCTGATCACGATAGCCCAGTGGTGAGCCGCGGGGCTGAAAACGTAAGTAAAAACATGCACTGAACGAGCAGACATTCCTATCATATGTCATAAATCTATTTACTACAATTTCTAACTTAGAGGAAAGGAGGAGGATGGGGGATTTTAGTTTCTTTGTTAAAGGCTAAGTCCCCTTTGTTGCCAGTTAGATCATCCTTCTCTTGTCACACTGCCTTCCTCCCTGCCAGCACCCACCCCTGACTGTAAATCCAACAGCAGGAACCTGCATGGTCACCCACTGTGGGTGACTTGTTGCTGTTATCATCTGCCCAGCATCCCTTCCTCCTTCTGATAAGGACATTTCTCTAGCGGGAGGACTGGTCCTTCCCCACTTCACAGGATTCTGGGGGTTGGGGGGGACCGAGCAGGGCTGATACCTTGCTCCTCCTGAGCCCACCTGTAGGAGAGTGACCCAGACCAGGCCAGTCCCAGGCTTTCCTCTTGGATTCTAAGCTGTGTAGATCCCCCCCTCAGCACTGCTGGAGGCCACTCCCCAACCCTACCACCTTGAGGAACCCACAGAGATAAAGAATGGGACAAGAGAAAAACAAGGGATGAGGAGCCCCAACAATGCTGTGTGCAACTCTGGCTCCAAATGTGCCCCTGGCCATCTTTCCTCGTCCGCAGCAGCAACGTGCGTCAAGACGCTCCCTTTCTGGCTTAAGTTAGCATGAGTTGTGTTTTTTGCCACACACAGCCAGAAGTGGCCTGGCCAGCACAGTCACAAACAGCGTGGTATAGCGGGCTGGTAGACAGGAGGCTTGGATCCAAGTCCCGTTTCTGTTACGAGCTAGCTCTGTGACCTTGAGCAAGCCACATCCTCTTGCAGGACCGCAGCTTTGTCGTCATGAAGCACAGTACTCAGGAGAGAGGGGAGGGCTCCTCGGTCCGTGGGGCAAGACTGCACCTCTCCTGTAGAGCCAGCTTCCACTCTAGAAGTCACTCTTCAAAGAAGAGTATGAATCCGAGCCTGTCACGACGACAGATCACAGAAGGCCAGCCAGGTTCCCCTGTGCAACCGCCTGCCACTAAGAAGCCCCTGTAGCCTGGAAGAGGCCAGCTTTGTTTCTCCAACTTGGAGTCTCCTGATCTCGATGCCCAGCATCCAAGGAGACATCTGTACTAGGGGTCCTGAGACCCTGCCAACCTGACCTGTCAAAACCAGCTTCGGGGGCTCAGCCTGCAACCCACTCTCCAACCCCTGTTTCTTAGGTCGGGGAAGAGCACAGCCAGTTACCCAGGTACCCCAAGCCCAAAAGCTGGGTCAGCCTTGGAGCCCGCCCCCACTTCATTACACTCTCACATCTGCACGCTCACCGAGCCGCTCGGTGAGCTCACTCTTATGAGCTAGTGTCCTCAGAATGCACCTTGCTCCATTCCCACCGCAACTCCCTTTTCCAGACACCCATCCTTCTGTGTTCTCCTGCCTCCTGAATTTAGGCCCCAGCTCTAGGCCAATGACTCCCACATTGAGGTCTCCAGCCCAGACAACACTCCTGAACTCCAGGCCCATATAAACCAACTGCCTCTTTGACCTCTGCTCTGGAATATACAGCTGGCATCTCAGAACCACGTCTGGAGCTCCTAACCACGTGCCATTCAATCCCATCTCATTCATCTCAGCAACACCACTTTCCCGTGCCCAAAAGCTTGGCATCTTGATTCTTCTCTCCTACCCAACAACCAATCTTTAGCAAACCATGCTGGCTCTACGCTGTAGGTTTTCTTCAAATTATATCTACAATCTTACCACTTCTCCCTTCCTCTACCTCACTGCTCAGTGTGGGCCACCGTCCGCTGTCACTTGGGTGACTGCAACAGCCTACCTGCTAGTCTCTCGGCTTCAGCCCCGCCCCCGTTCAGTCCGCAGTCCCCAGAGCAGCTACCGGGAGCCCACTGAGATCTACACCGGGTACGCCACTCCTCTACTCCTCTGCTCTGAAAGCCCCGATGGCTCCCCACGACTCTCCACCACCTGCCCCTGTGACCTCTCTGACCTCAACCCTTACTCCTTTCCCCCTAGCTCCTTCCCCACTAGTGACACTGGTCTCCTTGCACACGTCACACACTCCCACCCAGGTGCACAGGCCTCTGCCTGGAATGCTGTCACCCTCGATACTGTACGAGTGGGTCCCTCCCTTCTTTAGGGGCAGTACTCGAGTGTGTCCGTTCCCTGGCAAACCCTTCGGCCCTTCACAGTGCCTGACACAGAGCAGCCGCTCACATATCAAGGAGCCAGCGATTAACATTTCCAGTGAGACTCCCTGCCTCCAGTCCGTTCACCACACCACTGCAGAACAAATGTTCTCGAACATCAATCCCATCCCTGTAGCTCAACTGACAGAAATCCTTTTGTGGTCCCTATAGCAAGGGTGACCGCATAATTTCCTATCCAAACCAAGACACTAGTGTGAGTTGAAGAAGGACGCTATTAATGATCACACCCGCTCCACCAGTAAACCAGCACCATCTTGGGCAAAAGAGACCATCTGGCCCAATCTACCTGTAGCTACCGGCAATTGTTAAAAGCGCAGAATTCCAGGCTCTACTCCAGAGGCAGACAGACCAGACTTAAGGTGGGACCCAAGGATTGTGCACTGGAGATGATTCCTATGCAGGTCACAGAGAACCATGCCCCAAGAAGCAAGGCACAAAAGATAAAGGCACAATTACCTAGGAAGGCATCCAAGCCCCTTCAAGATCTGGCCCCTGCCTTCCCACACGTCTTCTGTCTTACCAGTTCCGCACATCTAGCATCACCTACACCACCTGCATGACTGCACATTCCACTCCCAGGGCCAAAAGGTCCTCCCCACACTGTCCCCTGGCTAACTTCTCATTCCTCACCCTCAATTCAAACGTCAGCTTCCTCAGAAGGCCTCCTTCCCTGAAGCTGCCCAGAATCCCCAATAACCCCCCCACAACTAAAACTAAATCAAGCACTCCACCTTTGTGTGCCCACAGCGCAGTGGATCACAACTGAGACTGCGGAGGTTTTTTGGAAAATACTACCTCCTGGCCCTCACCCCAAACCTTCTGAATCAGAAGCCTTAGGAGTAGGGCCCAGTCACCTGGAGTACTTAAAAAGCCTATCAGATGATTCCCATGTATACCCCACCCACAGTACTTCTAGCACTCAGCACATCCAATTTAAATTGCTGGTTTGTTCATAGTCTTCACTAGATGGTGAGCCAGAAAGCAAAAGCCATCTTGTATTATTCCGTAACTCTCCAAGCCCTCATCCATTACAGAATATCTGACCATTCCAAGTACTATCTTAGCTGTGATTAGTTCTCAGTGAAGCTGTCCACTTGCGTGACTAATTTAAAAAACAGTGTAAGTACACTGAGGTAGAAACAAAGCGAGTGTTTCTTGCTGTTCCTATGCTTCGGGGAAACTCCCCAAAGTTCAGCTCTCTGTTATGACTAACACAGGCAAGAATGAGCGTCTGAAACTGACCAAGCTGCCTTACAACACTCTCTTGCCTAACTGCACTCTCGTGTCAGCGAAATAGCCAAGATGTAGGAAAACTGGATATTCCGGGCTACGGGATAACCAACCCATCACTTGTCCTTGGAGCCTTAGGATGGCCCTTCCAGTTGGGCACGGTTGGTTTCCACTTCTGATTTACATTGGTTCTGCAACTGCCTAAGAAGCAGTTCTGTGTCCACAAAAACAATGATCCGGGTTCCTTCAAAGTGTGAAAGACTGAAATAAACGATTGTGTGTTCTTGCACCAGGAGCAGTTTGGAAGTTATCCATCCCAGCTTTTCAAATCAGGGTAACTTTCCCTCCATCGGTACCAGCTCCGACACCCACGGGGTTGCATCCTCCAGTCCCCACTCCCAACCCCAACGTCAAAGACACCCCACCCCCTCTCCGCCCCGCAAGCAGCGGCGGTGGTGGGATTTCGGTCTTCCAACCCCGGGAGGGAAGGCCTCGGTAAAAGAGGAGAGCCTGGGTGAAACCTCCCAAAGTCTCCCGGGCCGCGGCAAGGCCAGGGAGACGTCTTCCAAGGAGCGGCGGGAAGACGCACTGAGAAGATTTGACAGCTGCGAAGCCCCTTGGGGGCTCAGGGAGCCCCAGCCCTCCAGGCGGAAGTGAGCCAGGTGCGCGGCCCCGGGAGGTGGGGGCAGGGCCCGGGGTCTCAGGGACCGCGGGGAGTGGGGGGGCGGCAGGGCACGGAGAGGGGCACGCCCGGACTCGGCAGGCGCGGCGCGCGGGGCTCTCGGAGGTCATGGCGCGGGGACCGCGGCGGCCCGGGGCCCGCTTACCTGTCCAGGGTCTCCACGCTGGGCTGCCGGGAGCCGGCAGCGGGGCCCCCAGCGCCCCGAGGGGGCTTCCTGCCGCCCGCCGGGCCCGGGCCCGGGCCCCCGCCGCCCTCGCTGCCAGCCGCCGCCGCCGCCGCCGCCACCGCCGCCACCGGCCTGTCCATGGCGCGCCCGGCCCGCTGCCGCGGACGAGCCGCAGCGAGAGGGGAGCGGCGCCCGGAAGGGCCCCGCCGCCGCGACGTGCCGCGCCGCCCGCCGGCTCAGGCGGCCGCCGCCATTAGCTGTCACCTGGCGGCCCCGCGTTACCCACAAGGCCGCGCGCGGGGCCGGGGGCGGGGAGCTCGCGCGGGGCCGACCGCGCCCCCGTCCGCAGAGCCCCACCTGGGCCCGGGCGGTCCGCGCGGGGAGCCCGCGACGGCCCGTGTCGCCCGGCAGCGCGGGGGAACGCGCCTGAGTGGCCCCGGAACTACCGGGCTGCCGAAGAGTTGGGGGGGCATTCAGGGGTCAAAACCGATTTGTTTCCCCTCGATTTTCCTTCCCGGGTAAGTTTCGAGGTGGGGGCAGCCCAGGCCCCTGGGCGTCCGTGGTCTTGTCTCAAAGCAGAAGCAACTGCAGACATTTTAGCAAGTCCTCCACACGCCCTTCTTCCCTCCCTCCCACAAACCCACCTCCCTGCCATCTGTGGGGCCACGGAGTGTTCTGATGCCGCCCTCGGAACTTCGCCCCTGGTTTATATTAAGAGTAACATTTAACTTCTGTTGCTATGGAAATCCAGCCAATATCTGATGATAAAGGCTCATCCTCTCTCAACTCACCCCTGAGTTTGTTAGGGGTGGGGATGGCGATCATGACTAAGCCCTTTGCTGTGATTTCCCTGGGTACAGACAGGAGAGCTATGACCCTGATAAAAAGCAGACCTGTGGCCAGGGAGTTGTCCCTTTCCATCTCAGACCCATCCTGCCTTACCAGCTTAATAACATCGAACTGAACCTTGAGGATGAGAATGTGATGCCTGGAGGCCCTGCAGCCATCATACACCCAAGAGGAGAGAAGCCTGGGGTGAAAAGGTGACACGGTGAGGACTTCGAAGGGAGACTTATCTCCTGCAGGCTCTGGTTTTAAATGTTTAATCCATTGTTATAGACTGAATGTTTCTGTACACACACACACACACACACACACACAGACACCCCATTCATATGTTGGAGCTCTAGACCTCAACTGATGGTATTTGGAGATGAGGCCTTTGGGAGGTGATTAGATCATAAAGATGAGGCCCTGGCACGATGAGATTACTGCTCTTATGAGAAGAGACATCAGAGAGCTTGGTCTCACTCTCTCCATGAGCAGGCACCGTGGAAAGGCCACGTGAGGCCACAGTGAGAGACCACGGTGGACGAGCCAGGAAGAGGGCTCTCACCAGGAACTGAACTTCAGTCTTGGACTTTCCAGCATCCAGAACTGTATGCAAGCATCCTAGCTGCCCTGAGATTTGTCAGAAAGAAAATGGTGAAATTTTAGATGTGTTTATTCTGTATTCTTCAAGGAGGATTAGGCCATTGAGGAATTCACTGTGATGTTGTTAGACTTTCAGTTCCATTAAGCAAACATAGGACTTCTGGGAGAGAGAAGCAAATGACACATATTACTGCCTAAGAAGTTCACAGTCAAGTGACATTACCTGCTGGTGAATGCCACAGTGGCGGCAAGCCCATGGGGCTGCGGGAGGAGAGGGGTTAGGAAGGCTTCCGAGAAAAGTACACACAAAGCTGGATCTCCAAGTCGTTGCAGGCAGAAGGGACAGTTATGGACAAAGGTGTAAAGCTGGTTAAACAGATTATGTACAAGTGAACTCTAAGAGATCTCCTGGGGCTGGAGCATAAAGTCAGACAAGGCAAATGAGAAGGTCAAGTACAGGTCAACAGGGCAAAGACCTGGAGCATCTGCTATGCTAGACTACGAAGTTCACATTCTGTGCTGGATTCTGGCACAGGTCGGGCTCAGCGCACTTGGAGAAATACTACTGTACAGTCCCTCGTGTGGTAGACTGCGCCTCCGAAGATAGCTGCGGTAATATCCCCCGTTCCACGGGTCTTTCACAACGTGACCTTGCCACTCCTGTATCAAAAGGTCGAGTCTGTGTCCCCTCCCATAACCTCTTTGGACCAATAGAGCGTCACAGAAGGGACGCTATGTAACTTCTGGGGCTTGGCCTTCAGGCAGCTGCACCTTCTGCCTCAGATTCTGGGAATCCTCTTTCTTGGAACTCGGCTGCCACGCTGTAAGCGGGGCACCTGGGTGGCTCAGTGGGTTAAAGCCTCTGCCTTCGGCTCAGGTCATGATCCCAGGGTCTTGGGATCGAGCCCCACATCGGGCCCTCTGCTCAGCGGGGAGCCTGCTTCCTCCTCTCTCTCTGCCTGCTTCTCTGCCTACTTGTGATCTCTGTCTGTCAAATGAATAAATAAAATATTTTTAAAAAATAAATAAAGACACCTTGTCATTACTCACAGGGCCGCTAATGACCTGCCCGGTTTCTCTTCCAGAGAAAGGAATTCCTCATTATCCTGGAAGGCGAGTAAATCTCTAGGGAGGGGGAAAGAGACATCTTGACCTTCACTCCTGTGAACTCTGGGAGAAGAAGGTGTCTCTCAGCTTTAGGGTCTCGGAATATCCCCTGATACCAACTCTCTCGATGTGGCTGTGAATTCATCAACCAGAGCCCGTGGATGGTGCAGAAACCTGACACAACCACGGAGACTTTTCTCCTTAGAGTTGTCGGCTTGAGCCCCCCCACCTTCCCAGGGATCATGGTCAGGAGACAGATGGCCACCTGTGTGGTGAGAGGCAATGGGAAGAGTGAGTTGCCAGCCTACGCCGGTGCTCCTCTGGGGAAAATCGAGGCACCCTGTGGGGGAAGGGGGCACGTGTCTATGCACCTACGTTGAGTGTTCATGAAATGTACACGCGGCATGCTGCATAACGTCGTCACTTTCAGAATGGCGAGTGTAACAATGACTTGGGCCATCCGCTCACACACAGACCCAGGGGCCCCACTGCAGAGAATCTGAGCACTGAGTAGCGTGGCAGGGAAGGGGCTGTGGAGAGCCACATTATATGCAGCACCGCAAGCGAGTCTGAGGCAGATGGTCTGAAGATTACACTTGGAGACGCCATTGGAGGTGACCGGGAGCCACAGCCCCGTCCTCACAGAGGGACAACCGATTTTATCTACACTTCGAAAGCATAGCTGGGATTACACGCGGGCGGAGGGCCTGGAGGGGCAGGAGTGGCTGCGGGAAGACCATTTCAGAAACTGAGGCACGAGGGCCTGACATCAGACAGGACACAGTGCCTGACGGGATGCTGGGCATGAAGAAGAGAGGGAGGGACAGGCTAAGAGATGGATCAAGGCTGAAACCAAGGTGTCAGACTTGGATGACTGCATAGAGTGTAACAGTGGTCACTGGGCGAAGGAATGCAGGGTGACAAGCAGCTGGGAGAGGTGAGGCAGTAGGACGAGTTCATCTTGGACATATTCAGTTGGCCCTGCCCTGAGTCCTGGCCCACACGATGCTTTTGTGTACACTGCGGAAAGAGACCCCTTCCTCACAACACCGAACTGCTATTGCTCATAAAATTGTCATGATATGCCGGTGTTGTCAAAGCTCAACCTTTGCTTGCTATATGCCCAGAAAGGGCTGTAACAGACCTCGAAATCTATGAGGCTTTCACTGTGCATGGTTCCCCTTAGGTAGGACCCCCTTGTCCCCTGCACGGCCTACATACTGATGCCTGTGCCCTTGACGAGCACTTCTGGGTTATCCGGGTGGAGGTGTCCCATAGACTGTTGGTCACAGCTTAGGAGAGAGAGGCAACAAAAGAGTTGGTACGTTTTCCTAAAATTTGAAAACAGAGAAATTCTTCGAAATTTAATCCTCAGCTCCACAATTTGGTAACTACAGATGAGGCCACCACTTTCTTTCTGGAAAAGGAATCAAGCAAATGAAACTGGGCCTGAGGATTCCTTATCAAATGAGTTTCTCAAAAACATCCTTTTGCTCAGAATGAGAAAATCTCACTTTCTGTGGGACAACACATGAGTGCCCCTGCAGGGAAAGGGTCCCACTGTGCGGAGGGGTCCTAACGGCAATTCGGGAGAGTAAGATTTTGATCTGGTCTTCGCAGGCAACGGCAGAGGCCCTCCGCCTCACAAAGCAAAGCCTGGCGCTATCTGTGCCTCCAGCCTTGAGAGTGTGTTCAGTTCGTGGTGTTCATTTTTGTGTCTATAATTGTGCTCTTTAGCCCAAAGCAATTCCGGCTAAATGTGGCAACAGATGGACTTAGGTTCTGTGTGTCCTTGCAAACACTGCCGCATCAGATCCAGGTTTGTAACAAGTCCAGCATTAACCCCGTTCGTTCTGGAAGCACCATCTAGCCATAGTTAAAAATGTTGGTGTATCTACATGTATGTTTGAAGCCTTTTCTCTACACAGCATTAGGCACTGGATTCATCTTCTGTTGCGGCCATAAGAAATTACCACAAACCGAGAAGCTTAAACCTCACACATCAACTTTCTCGAGGTTTCTGTAAGCAGATGTCCTGGTGGGTTCATTTGGGTCCTCTGCTTGGGGTATCACAAGGGTGAAATCAAGGTGTTAGCAGGGCTGGGCTCTTTTCTGGAGGCTCTGGGGAAGATTCCAGCTCATTCAGTTCCCACAGGCTGTCTTCATTCCTTCTGGTGCTTTCCATGTGCCCCCTCCAGCAATGGTGGGTCAAGCCCCTCTTATTCTTTGATCTCTCTGACTTCCTCTCCTGAAGCATCTCTTTTGCTGCTAGGCAGAGAAAGTTCTCTGCTTTTAAGGACTTGTGTGATTAAATAGGACCCACCTGAATGATATAAGATACTCCCCCCAGCTTAAAGTCTGTAACCTTAATTATATCTGCAAATCCCCCCCCTTTGTCATGTAACATAACATATTCACAGGGTCAGAGATTAAGGCACGGACATAATGGGGGGACCAGAATGCCTACCAAGGGTACCAGGTCAGGCTTCTCCAGGGAAACAGAACCCGTAGAGGGTGTTTGTGTGTACAGAGAGAAGGACAAAGGGGGATTTAGTTTAAGGAATTGGCTCACACAATTGTGAACAAGTCTGGGCTTTTCAGGTCAGCCAGCAGAGTGGAAATTGCAGCATGCAGCAGTCCTGAGCTGAGTCTGAAGCCAAAGTCTGGAGCAGAGTTCCTTTCTTTTTGAGGGGACCTCAGTCT